TGGCGGGAACTCGTTCGAAAACGCGGTCCTGAGGGCTTAGGGCTGGCTTTTAGAAGGGTCAAAAGTGCCCGTAAAATGCGCGCAAAATCTTTTGGGCCATGGTGTGGCCTGGCGGGGTCGGAGTTTGGAGGTTCGACTTCCGCTGATCAGGTCAAGTGCGTCTGAACTACCGCAAACTGCAGGAGAGACTGCGGTAGAGACGGAGTTTGACACTCCGAAAAAACCGCCAAACTCCGCAGAGACTTTGGTGGAGACTCCGCAAAAACTGCACAAAGACAAAATGACTCCACAAAGACCCGAAAGATCCCAAAAGACCAGCCGAAATTTCACCGATGCTGGCAGACTCAACACACCTATGAGTACTGCAGACTCGATTCCGACGAAGAGCGCTGCAGACTCGAGCGAACATTGCAGGATTCCGACGGTCTAGTAAAAGGCGTTGCAAGCCTCGCAGCAAGCTGTACGCAAACCTCTGCACGTCGAGAGCTTGAGAGCTCTAAATAACAAGATCATGACACGCGACTTCAAACCATGACTTGTGGAATTCGAAAGCGCTGGAAAGCAAATCTACCTGCCGTGCAGCAACTGGGCACTGGCACAAACAGCTGGCTACGCATACCAACTCAAGCGGAGCCTGAGCCACAAAAAGAAAAGGATCCAGCGACGGCTCGTGTCAGGGACCTGTCAAGTGGCATGCGACATGGAGCTGCGGCCAAGTTTTCGCAAGAGGCTATCTCTCGGCACAGTGTCTGCGAGCGAGCAGCACGAGTCTGCGCGAGCGCTCAGCCCTTTTCAGCGCAAGAAGCGAAGACACTCTAGTTGTGCTATGATCTCGCTGCAATTCACGCGGCTGTATCTGTGCTGGTCGCTTTGATAGTTCTGATAGCCCGCTGTGGCCTAGCTGCACATTTGGAGCAGCACATTGGGCATGTCCTCAGCGGTTTACCTCGCTCGGCCATGCTCAGCCAGGTTTCCAAGGAGGGATGTTTTTCCGGTGCCTCTTGGGCTCCAAAGAACAACGACTCTGGGTTTGTTGAGATCCGCCTCCTGGGTCTGCTTGATCTGGGCCATTCCTCTCCGGGAAGGGCTTGTTCGCCTTGTTGAGTGCTTGAGTTCAAGACGCGCTCATTCCACTCGGAAATCTCGCTGCCCGGGGGAGTCTTTCCACCTGTTGCGCTGCATTGCCAATAGAACGTAAGACAGCTCAGGAAAGCAAGATGAACAAAAAAAAAAAAAAAGAATCTGCACTCAACAAAAATCCCCAAATCCGCAACACTGACGCATATAATGGAATCTGCTTCACACGCTGCCTTGCCAAATTTCCGGAGAACCGAGTCCAAGGGGTTGATTTTGGCTCTCGCAGGTGGAGCGTAGTGACTAGTAGTGGTTGTACTGAGCTCTCGTGGCCAGTTCTTGAGCCAAACAGACACCCGTGGCACCAAATTTCCTTTGACCCTGTCCCCTGCCTTAACTATATTTTAATTCATTAAAAGAAGGGCAACAAAGAAGCATCTAAAGAAAGCAACAGAGAAGCAAAAAGACACAAACAGATAACAGAAAGATACCAGAAGGAGACAAAAGAGACAAAACGGAGACAAAATGGAGACCAAACGACAAAAAAAGACAACTTAAAGCAACGAAGTCCGTGGAAGAGCCCTTCGTGGCACTTTCGGGAAAACTACTTGCATGAACGATGTTGCATCTCTTGCGTTCCACCATGGCAAATACGCATGAATGAAAATCCAAAGGATTGTGCAAGCAGCGCACAAGCTGCACTCAAGCTGCTGCGACGGAACAATGTCAACCCAACCGCAACCCATGCACACTCCGCCGGTTGCAGCCTTTTGACATCTTCACGAGCGTATGCGTGGCCTGGCTCTCACCACGCTATGGTAAAATTCTTCAAAGCCGCCAAGAGCAAGTCTGCTCGGCCCGGCAAACAATTAAATAAGAGTTTGGCAAAGTCATCTTGGTTGTCTACGGTGAGATGCGCATTCGCGTTGCGCAACATCTCTAAGTATGTGCACCATTTCATTGGCAAGGGACGCTGTTTTGTCGACCGACGCCGTGCTATGCTCCTGTTCACACCGTTATTCGCCCAACTCAGAAGCTGTTGAAAACAGCGGTCGCCTGTCTTTGGATGCCAGCCATGTTGCCTCCCATGTTTCCTGCAAATACTCTCCACACGCCTGCGCAGTTTTTTGGCGTCGCCATCCATGTCGTCCCACCTCCGCAACGTGCCGCTCACAAGCTCACCAACTTGCGCAAGTTGCTGCAGCCTTTGTGCTTCTGGTACCATTGCAGCACAGGGAAATTGGACTGGTTCACAAGTGTCCCGTTCTCATCTATACACTGCGCCATGCAAACAGTCCATGGGTTGTCTGCAAAGGAGAACTTGCCATCCAATTCCTGAATATATGGCTTAAAGAAGCAGCCGTAAACGATCTCATTGAAAAAGTCTGCTGGGTCAGAAGTCGCCCCACCCAAGGCCAAGTCTCGGATGTACTGCAAGCGTTCTGGTTTGCTCCAAGCGGGATCCCCAAGCAAAGGCGTCATCTCCGTCACAAATTCCGATCTCAACTTGAGATTCACTTGTTGTTGCGTGTCCTTAATGGACTGTGCGTACTTCCACATTGTTGCTGTATATGCCATCAACGGCACGGATGCGATCTCAGCTAACAACGCTGTCAGTTCGTCTCTTTCCGACTCGTTGGCTGCAGTGGCCAGGAATTTGCTTTTGGCATAGGCCAGCTCATGTTTGGGATGTTGCCACGGGAGGAAAATCTTGCGACACTCGCCAACAAACGTAAATCCATTGGGAGTCATCTTGAGAAAGTTGTGCCACGCAAGGACCATGGCTGAACCCGTGATGGCAAAGTGCAGGTTGGGGCGCTGCTTGTTGACTCCTACGAAACCTTTGAGTGTATCCCACAATGGGAGCGTTCCCTGCCTCACTTCGAAATACCTCTGAACTTCGTCGATCAAGAAGAAACAGGTTCGGCCAGACCTGGCCAAAATATCCATCAACTGATTCAAGGTCAGCTGGTCGGCATGGCCCACATCGAGCCCAGAGGATGTTGCCCAACTGCAAACCTCTTTCAGCAGGCCTTCCTTCATTTCTCCCGGCTCGGAGCCCACATCGAGAAAAGCGGCAAAGTCCAGGAAACAAATCTCGGCATCTGGAAAGGTCGTCAAGATGATCTGTGGCAAAAGGCGAGTCAAGACGGTTGACTTTCCAGTCTTTACCATGCCATTGATGGCACAAATGCCTCGGGAAGAGTTACATTCCTCCACCCACGCAGTCAACTGCTGCATCAGTGCATCGGACACAATGGCAAATTCTTCCGAATCTTCAAAGTCACAGACCAGCAGCTTCTTGTTGTGGCAAACTGTTTCGTTCATGGTATACTTGGGGGCAATGTATGGCAGCTGGCGTCTTGCGCCCTGCACCTGGAAGGGTGCACGTCAACTGATACCACTGGAACATGCGCGAAGCCGCGGTCTTCTCAACTGGTGTTTGTAAACAACCAAGGCTTAACCAAGGCTTACTGAAATTCCATTGACAAATCAAACCAATCTATCGCGGAGTCGCGGTTGGGAAGAAAATTCAACACTGCAGGGTAAGACAACACACTCAAGCAGGAACGCTTCCTATGGATGCAAAGCTAGGGATGCATGGTTGCGGGGCTCAGCACCCGAACCGAAAACGCACGACGACCAAGAGCCCCCGGACATGCAGGAGTGCTACAAACCAAAGGCAACATGCCCACGCAGAAGCCCCCCGGCCTGCACTCGTCTTGCCAGAACCCCAATGCTCTAGCGCAAAACAGGCCGCTCCCCGAACTGCTGCAAGCCAACACAGTGGAGACAGCTTAACGACGAGGGGCTGAGTGGAAAGCATTACCCCAACAAGCAACAACGGTGGCCCCACGAAAACGCACGACGACCAAGAGCCCCGGACATGAAGGAGTGCTAGGCAATATGCCCACGCAGAAGCCCCCCAGCCTGCGCTCGTCTTGCCGGAACCCCAGTGCTCTTCGTGCTAAAAGCACTAAGAACCCAGGTCCCTTGACTCCCCCTCACGGACACAGTAACCTGAAAGTCGAGCCTCAAAAGCAACCGCAACCTGGAGAGCGCAAAGCGAGCGCAAAACAGGCTGACCCCCCCCCACCTCGAGCCTAGGACTGACACCCCGTTCTGAAGCATCGGCAAAACACGAAGGGCAACCAGATTTGCGTGAAACCTGAAGCAGCCAAGAGCCCTCTGCTCCGAAAGCCCCTCCCGCTCCCCGAAGTGCTGCAAGCCAACACTGAAGCTTAACGACGAGCTGCCAAACACTGCAGTGAGGCTGGCACTGAAGACACCAAGAACAAACCGAGAAGGCAGTGTGGAGACAGCTTAACGAGGAGGGGATCCTTGAGATTCCGGTCTGACACGAAAGGCACGAAACCGACGAAACAAACGAAACCCATGATGTCACGAGCCAGCTCTGCTAAAGGCCCCGGCCTGGAGTCCGCTCGCTGCCGTCGGCGGCGCCAACGGCGGCGCCGAGCCCCCAGAAGCTTGCAGCTGATTCACCAACATATCGGCGGGGCCACGCTTCAAGCCGTACTCAACCAGCTTGTCAGTAGTAAAACCGAGCAGCATGGCACCTGTCACTAGCTCGCCTTTGAGCTGCTGGGCCTCTGCCGCTGCCCTCGTTTCATCGAGACCTTTCGCTTTCAGCACGGCTTTCGCCCAGTCACATACCTGCAAGCAGCCCGGACTCGAAACTCAAGCAAAAGAGACATTTTGCCAAGCGCCTGCTCCACTGTAAAGTTCTTGATCTGGTCAGCTGTCTGTTGCAGCCACTCGTCCTGCAGCAATCGGCACAGCCTAAGCGATGCTCCAGAGTCGGCGAGCCTTCACGGATCCCGCCTGATCGAAGCCTGCTCTGGCCTGCAGGAGCCACGGAGCAATGCGAAGCCCGCACCAGCAAAAACACATGCCTCGGTCGTCGCCTCTTCCACCTCTTCCACCTCATCCACCTCATCCTCATACTTTGCTGAGGAAGCCTCCAAACATGGACTGACCCCGAACAGACATGTGCTGCTGGCCGAGTTGAGCGTTTGGAGCACCTACATCATACAAGTTGAAGCGGGTCAGAAGGGCAAAACATGGCAAAACCTGCCTTTCGGGCCTGGAGTTGCAAAGTGCTGGCACGAACAGAAGCTGACTGATAACCCAAACACTTCAGGCACCTAGGACATGAGTGCACGCCTTCTTCCCGGTAATCCCCTTCTTGGCATCCTCGACCGTTTCAGCGGTCTGTGATGGGGCAGCCTTCTTTGGCATGCTTTAGCGTGAGTCACAAGAAACTCAACACGACAAAACCCTTGTCGCCTTGACGTCTTCACTGTCTTCGGCCTCACCATCGCCAGCCTCAGCTCTTCAGGACATACGCTTAACACTGAATTTCCTCTCGGTCTCGGCTTCCCGCCTTGGCCCGGCGTGCGACCAGCAAGCTCTGCGCCCATATTCCCGGAGGAACCGACCTCGCGCTGGCTTGCGGATCTTCGGCACTCCATGCCATACATCACATCCCACCTTGGAAACTGCACGGGCCCCGCTCCTAGCAAAGCCCGCGCCGTCTGCGTCGCTCGCCTGAGGCTGCTCGGGAAACCCTCTAACACTGTTCAAAGCACTGGTCTTAGGCTCTGGCAGAGACACCAAGAAGAGCGCCAGTGGCACCACAGCGCGCCCGACCTTGCGCGATGTTGCTGGAGGCCTGCTCATGGCGGCAGTCGTCCTAGCTGTCCTCTGGCTCGAGCAAAAGCACTGCAATCTGCATGAACGAATGGTCGAGCTCAGTCACGGGCCAAGCGTTTAATTAACCAACTGCAATTCAACATGCGAAGCAAATTGCAAGTGTGCACAGGCAACTGCTGCAAGATGCCTCGGTCGGGGTTCTCGACAGGGATCGGGCCTTGCGGCGGCACACTCCCGAAAGCCCATGAAATCTGAAGCCTTGCCACTTGCAAAGGCCTGTGAAATGTGAAACCCTGGCCCCAGTCTCAGGGTGGGAGGGCCTGGTGGGCAGTGAAGGGCCTGTAATCTTTCGAGCGCGACGTCTGTGCGGCCCCGCGTGCCCCCGTGACCCTGTGACCGGTCACCCCTCACCGCGTGACCCCGTGACCCCGTGCCCCCGTAACCCCGTAACCCCCGTGCCCCCCGTAACCCGTAACCGCGTGACCCCGTGACCCCCGTGAGCCCCCCCGCACCCCCTTGACCCCGTGACCCCGTGACCCCGTGAGCCCCCCGGAGCCCCCGGAGCCCCCGTAACCCCCGTGACCCCGTGACCCCCGTGACCCCCGTGACCCCCGTGACCCCCGTAACCCCCGTGACCCCCGTGACCCCGTGCCGGACCCCCGTGACCCGTGACCCCCGTGACCCCCCGTGAGCCCTCCGTGGACCTCCGTGGACCCCCCGACCCCGTGACCCCGTGACCCCGTGACCCCGTGACCCCGTGACCCCCGCCCGGCCCCCGTGACCCCGTGACCCCGTGACCCCGTGACCCCCCGCATGGTCCCCCATCACAATCCCGACTCAAAAGGGTCACGGGGTCACGCCTCCCATTCCCGACTCAAAAGGGTCACGCGGTCACGGGGTCACGGGGTCACGCCTCCCATTCCCGACTCAAAAGGGTCACGGGGTCACGGGGTCACGCCTCCCATTCCCGACTCAAAAGGGTCACGGGGTCACGGGGTCACGCCTCCCATTCCCGCCTCAAAAGGTCACGGGGTCACGGGGTCACGCCTCCCATTCCCGACTCAAAAGGGTCACGGGGTCACGGGGTCACGCCTCCCATTCCCGACTCAAAAGGGTCACGGGGTCACGGGGTCACGCCTCCCATTCCCGACTCAAAAGGGTCACGGGGTCACGGGGTCACCCCTCCCATTCCCGACTCAAAAGGGTCAGGGGGTCACGGGGTCACGCTTCCCATTCCCGACTCAAAAGGGTCACGGGGTCACGGGGTCACGCCTCCCATTCCCGACTCAAAAGGGTCACGGGGTCACGGGGTCACGCCTCCCATTCCCGCCTCAAAAGGCTCACGGGGTCACGGGGTCACGCCTCCCATTCCCGACTCAAAAGGGTCACGGGGTCACGCATTCAGTTTTCCAAGAGCCTTCAAAAAAGGGTCACGGGTTACGTTACTTCACTCAACCCACGCTCACTCGGAGCACCCGCCTTGTGGCTCGAAGATCGCGCCACTTGAAAACGTCTCCTCAAGACGCGGATTTAAGGCTGCAGGTGGGGCTTCGGGCTCATTGGGCAGGCACAGCACAGCACTCTCGAAGCATGTGTTCCCTAAATTAGGCCCTAAATCCATATACTGTCCTCTTGAGGCACACAACCCCAACCACAACACCAAAGCACTTCACCCCTAAACCCTAAACCCGCCTCTGGTGGAATCGAAGATGGCGGCGAGGACGAAGCTTTCGATGAGCGCCTGGCCGCAGGAGGGGGGAGGCGCAGACCACTCTAGGTGACAGGGGCTGGGTCGGGCCAGACAGCGCAAGGCCCTCCTGACTGCAGTCCGAACCTCGCTGCCTCAGAGCCCCTAAGCCTGCGAACAAAACCCGACCCCGAAACCTTGCAGCACAGCACTTCCAGACCTTGCTGCCTCGGAGCCCCCTTGCCTGCAACCCTAAACCCTACCGACCCTGAAGCCTCTGTGGAACCCGGCTCGCAGCAACGGAGACGATGACGAGGAGCACCTGATCACACGAGGGGCCTGGGGATTCCAGGAAGGGGGGGGGGGGGGCGCACAACACTCTAGGTTACAAGGGGAAGGGACGGGTGGGGGACAGCACTCCTACCTGCATGCAGTCCGAACCACCTAGCAGCCTCGGAGCCCCTTGCCTGTCAACCTAAACCCTGAAACCTTGCAACACTGCACTTCCAGACCTCGCTGCCTCACAGAACCCCAACCACCTTCCCAAACAACCCTGAAACCTCTGTGCACCCGGCGTTCGGACACTACCTCTCTGTGTCAGGACTTGTGTGCTTGCTGCCTTCCTGACATGTGGTAGCTGCTTGTCTGCTGTGAGTGGCCGACTTGAAAAATGCATCGTCGGCCATGCTAGCCGTGTGAAAATCGGTAGCCTGCTGCTATATTGACACTTTGAGGAAGCGAGCGCGGCCCAAGCACTCTAAAAACCGACATGCCAAAAACATGCGAAAAGCCAGAGTTTTTAGGGTTTAGGGCAGGGTTACGGGGAATGTTTGTTTAAGCCTGCTCGCCACAGAGCAGTAACTAGGCCTGCTCGCCGCAGAGCAGTGACTTATCAAGGCCGTCCAGCAAAGCATATAAACAAATCCACGCCAAAAACGCATGCAAAAGGGAAAAATTGCCAAGGTTTCGAACCTGTACACAAGACTTGAGCCAAAACTGTACAAGCCGCCGTACAAGAAGACAAGACTCGACCGGCGAAGGGGGGCCCGCTCGGGCGACGACCTTTTTTCCGGCCGGGGTTTTCAAAAGTCATGAGCTGGGCTCAACAACGACACGCCATCAAACTAGCAGCCGAGGCCGGGGTCAGGGCGAGGACCTCGGCGGCAGGCTCAGAAACCCTTCCTTTGGCACACCACCACCTCCGCTACGCGATGCTCAGCCGCCCGAACGGCGAGCTCACGAGGGCCGGCCAGTACTACTACCAACTGATCGACCGGCCGCCCCCCAGCCGGCAGTACGACCGCAACCAACCCCTCATCCGCGAGGGCCCGAACGATTACATCATGCTCCGGGGGGGCGCCAAAAAGCTGCTCCGCAGCCTCCAGCCCAACGGGAACTACCACTTGACCAAGCTCGGGAAGAGCTTCTTCAAGGACAAGTGGGTGGACTGGGTGGTGCACGTGCCCGTCATCATCCGCGGCATCCGGCGAAACGGCCGGAACCGCGGCATGCCCTACGAGCGCACGAAGCGCCTGCCCGTCACGGACCTCAACGTCACACTGCCCCGGCAGAGCGAGGGGCTCTCGGATGGCCCAAGCGGCCCAGAACCTCAAGGCGTCCGCGCTCGCGCAGCTCGGGAACCCCGAGCCGAACGACATTATTTGGGAGCTGTCCGACGAGAGCTACTACCTGGACGCGACGAGGGAGTGGACCTTCAGCCAGCAGGCCATGCAGGTCGTAGACGACCGGGTGGTGGTGGAGACCGTCCTGGATCAGCCCCTGGGGGGCGTCTCCTGCCAGCTGTACTGCGGCGACGAAATCCTACGCCTTCGAACAGCGGCCGGACAAGCTTTGCGTCCCTCGGCAGCTCGCGGAGTTGATGCGGCTGCCGCTGCAGGAGGTGCTTTCGGACTTCGACGCAATCTGCACCAAAAAAACGTGGCGGGAGCAGGGCATCACCTCCCGAGAGATCCGGGAATTCTGCCTTTGGCGCCAGGCCCCGATGTTCTACGTGGACTGCCAGGGCCGCCTGCTGGACAAGTACGAGCCTACCGTCAAGGAGCAGCGGGCCGTGGCCTTCACGAGCTGGAACGGCCACGCCTTCTTCTACAAATCCGCCCCGTCGCGAAGTGCGAGCCGATCGGGGAGCGGGCCAGGTACCGGGGCGAGAGGAAGCCAGGCGAAACGCCCGAGTTCAAGGATTGGCGGGAGTGGGAGGGCGAGGTCGCCAGCGGTCATTTCTACACTGAAGACCTGGAGCAGGTCCGAGGGAGCTCCTGGCCGAGGGGCACTGCCCGAAGGTGGTCATGCGAAGCATGAGCGAGTGGCGGTGCCTGCGGCTGAGGGTGCGGGGCGGCGAGGACTGCGTCATCTCCGCCTTCCACGAAGACCTGGATGTGCTGCAGGCCTGGATGGGGCGGCTGGGGCTCCCCTATTGCGGGCAGCGTCTGGCGGGCGCCGCGAGCGAGGTCTTCCTTCACCTTCTCAAGGCCCGCCGCGATCCGCCCGGATCTCGGCAAGCCCTGCTCGCGGAGCAGGACCACCAGTGCAAGCTCTGCGCGGCCCCCATCACCGCAACCACGTGCGAGTTGGACCACATCGTCCCCGTGCACCAGTCCTTCGCCGCACAGGCCCAGAACCTCCAGGCACTGTGCCTCGAGTGCCACCGGAACAAAACGGCCCTGGAGTCCTCGCACGCCACGACACTGGAGTCGCGCTTCAGCCGGCGGGCTTACGAGCAGTACGTGGAATCGCCTCGACTCCCGCCGCTCGTCTTCAAGCTCAACAGCCACAAGCCGGACCACATCTGCCACGGTATAGACGTGGTGCGGTGCCGCAAGAACGGTCTGGCCCATGCCAAGTTCCCGGCGCCCATCTTCTGCCCCAAGGACAACGTTGAGCAAGCCCGCGAAGGGCACCTGGCGGACCTGACCTACGTGAGGCTCCGGGAGGACGGGCGTTGGGCGGCGTTCAAGCAGCTCCCCTACGTGGGCCAGGGCTGGTACGCCAAGCCTGCGGTGGCCTACATGCTGGAAAAGGGCCTTGCGACGTGGAGCGACTTCGTGTACAGCCTGGACGCCACGGCGCACGTGGACCAGGAGTCCGTGGCCCAGGCCCTGCAGAAAATGGAGGCGGCTTGGCCGGAGGGAGAGGAGCACTACGCGAAGCTGTCGGTGAATGCCCTCATCGGGCTGTGGGCACGCAACATGAACCTCATCTATACACCATGCGCACCAGCAACCACCAGTTCGACGGGTCCGGGTGCCAGCACCGGGAGCTGTTCCTGGACGCCGCGGGCGGGATGCACTGGGATCACATCTACGTGACCCAGTTGTTGTCCAACCGGAGCTGCCGGCCTGTGCACGACTTCGTGATGGCCTCGGAGTACGTCGCCGTCTCCAGAATCCGGGATGCACTCGCAACCGTGCCGTCGAGGTACCTGAAGGCCGTCAAAACGGACTGCGTCGTCTTCCAGGACCTGCCCAAAAAGTTCCAGGGCCTTGTGGACAGCCTGGTCCGCGAAAGGCATCCCGACGGCACGCCCGTGTACCGATGCGAGGAGGTCAAGGGCCTCGAAGGCCAGTATCGGATCCCCCGAATCGAGGCGGAGTGGATGTGCAACATTGACGCCTGGAAGGTCGCGGAGGACCCTGTGCTCCACTGCCTCGAGGGCGGGAGCCTGCTGCTGACCGGCTACCCGGGCACCGGGAAGACCCACCTGGCGCGCCAGATCGTGACCGCCCTCCGGGAAGAAGGGTACAAGGTGAAGATCATCACGAAGACCCACTCCTCCCTGCAGAACTTTGGAATGCAGGCGGAAACGGCCGACCACTGGGTGCGGAGCACCGTCCGGAACGGCTACTGCAACATCGACTGGCTGGTGGTGGAGGAGATTACGCAGCTCGACACGGGGCTGTGGAACGACATCGCCTGCGTCTCCATGAACCGCAAAGTCAAGTTCCTGCTGCTTGGCGACTTCCGCCAGTTCCCCGCCGTCATGGACAACTTCGCGGGCACCCCGGTGCAGCGGGAGCTCAAGCACTGCCAGCTGCTCCACGACCTCACCGACGGCTGGCACCACGAGCTCACCGAGAACAGGAGGAGCGACCCGGGCATCTTCGACTTCCTCCGGTGGCTCCGGGTCGACGAGCCCCGGGAGCAGTCCCTGCCGGAAGCGGTCCGGGCGGCCCGGGAAACGTTTCCGCGGCAAGGCGAGCCCGATGTCAGCCTGGTCATCTCCCACGCCCACCGCATCAGGATCAATGCGCGGGACAACCGTCGCCTGGCCCCGCCGGAAGCTGTGACGATCGAGTACACCGGCACTGGCCCGACGACCACCAACATGCCGCAGACCATGCGGGTCTGGCCCGGCCTGAAGCTCATCGGCGTCGGCGGCCGCGTGACCAAAGGCATCTACGTGCATGTGGCAGAAGTGGGCCCCGAGAAGATCGTCTTGGACGGCGGCGACTCCTTCACCCACGCCGCCCTCCTGAAACACACCCGGCTGTGCCACGCCATCACCTACGCCTCGTGTCAAGGCCTGACGCTCGAAGGGCGGGTCTTCCTGTGCGACACCGAGAGCCCGCACTTCACCCTCAAGCACCTCTATGTGGGGAGCAGCAGGGCCACCAGCAGCGAGCTCCTGAGCGTGCTCTAGAACGGACACTGAAAGGCCGGGGCTTCGGCTCTCTCAGCTGCAGGTCCGTCACTTCCATCAGAAGCCCACACTGGCCCGACATAAGCCATACCTGGCGCAAATCTGCGCGCACCTTGCATTCCCGACCGGCCAGGTCACCAGGATCCTCCAGCGGCTGCTGGTCAGCGTCCCAGAAGTGGACTCGGGACAAATCGACCTTGAGCTTGATGAAGCTGTTCCCGCGGGAGGAGGTCTTGAGGCAGGACACGAAGCGACCCTCCACGTCCGACGCGGTGAGGTAGCGGCCGAAGATTTTAGAGTCGTGGAGGCATCGGGTCAGCTGGCCCTTGATGTCCTTCTCGATCGCCTGCAGGTCTGCCTTGGCAGCCTCGTTCTGCTCGAGACACAGGGGGAGTCGCCGGGCTTCCGTCTCGCTGCCGTAGGGGCTGGGGTGCCACAAGATGCGCAGCCACTCGTGGGACCGCCAGGCCTCCGCGCACACCGGGAAGAACTTGCCGCCACGCTGGTTGGTCGTAAGCTCACCGAGCTTGAGTACCGTTTTGGGCTCCATCGCTCCTTCTTTTTTCACGACAAGAAAAAAAATGCCGGCCACCGTCGCCACCGCGGAGTGCGTGGTGGCCCTGCTCGCCTGCCTGCTGGTGCTGTGGGCATTTTCTTTTCCTTCAACAAATGAGACTTCTGGAACTCTTCAGCGGCACGGGGTCGGTCGGACGTGCCTTCGAGGCCCGTGGCTGGGAGGTAACGAGTCTTGACAACAACCCAAAAGCCAGTCCAACCATCTGCTCCGACATCCTGCAATGGGACTACAAGGCCTTCGAGCCCGGGCACTTCGACATGGTGTGGGCCTCGCCCTGTTGCACCGAGTTCAGCATCGCACTCAAGAAGCGCCCCCGCAACCTGCCGCTCGGAGATGCCCTGGTGCTCAAGACCCTGGAGGTCATAGACTACCTCAAGCCTCGGTGGTGGGCCATCGAGAACCCGAGCACCGGGCGCCTCAAAACCCGCCCCTACATGCAAGGGCTGCACATGGACCGGGTCACGTACTGCAAGTACGGCTTCCGCTACAAGAAGCCCACGGCCATCTGGCACAACCTGCCCTGGACCCCCTCCCAGGGGCCCTGCCGCAAGGGCGACCGCCCACCAAGGGGCGGCAGGGGAGCAACTCGCGGGACCAGCTCTACTCCATCCCGCCTGCGCTGTGCGACGAGATCGCCGCGAGCGCAACACTTGGGTTAAATGGGCAAGGTGCGTCTCTTCAAGACGCCTGAGTACTCCGTCAAGCAGCCGCCTGACCCCGTGGTTTGCAAGCCCCCCGCCAACGGTATTTTGTGTGCTCCATCTGCAAGCGGAAAGACGGTACTCCTTGTGAGCATGATTTTGGAGCAATACCGGGGCTGCTTCGAGCGCATCTATATCTTCTCGCCCTCGGTGGAGGTCGACTCTGCCTGGCAGCCTGTCAAGGATTACATCCGAGACGAGCTGGGCGTGAATACGGACCGGGAGCAGTGCTGGTGGGAGGATTGGGACGAGGGGGCGCTGCGGAAGATCATCGCGGACCAGAAGCGCATCACCCAGAAGAGCAAGGAGCTGGGCCTCAAAAAACTGTACTCGGTCTTGGTAGTTTTGGATGATCATGCCGATAATCCAGCTGTGCACCGCAAGACGGGAGATGGCGTTTTGGACACTCTGTTCATCAGGGGCAGACATTTTTGCATCAACACCTGGGTCTCGACCCAGAAGCTGCGTCTTATGAGCTCCGCCGTGCGGGTCAACGTGATGTTCTACTGCGTCTTCCGGTTGCGAAACCAACTGGAGCTGGATGCCTTGGTGGAGGAGCTGAGCGCCATGCTCCCGAAAGAAACCCTCTACGCCATGTACGAGGAGGCCACCAGGGAGCCCTACAGCTTCTGGTTCGTTAACCTCCGCGCGCCCAAGGAAGACATGTTTTGGGTGCGCTTCGACCGGAAGTTCTTGCTAAATGGGGACGCTCCTGAGCCAGATGGCGGCCAAGTTGTTGGGGGGAGGCCCGATGTGCGAAAGTGAGTGCAGCAACATAAGGTGCTGCACCAGCACGCAGGGCATCTACGACCCCAGCCACTGGCCCCCACCAGACAGGCCCCGGCAAACCTCCGATGGCTCCAACGCCAGCGAGTTCTCGGCGCGGCCCACCCGGTTTTTCAGGCGCCGTTCTAAAAAGGGCATGACGAGTATCTACGTGGACTCGCGCCTCCGCGCGGAGGGCACGGACAGCAGCTTCTCCTTCGACATCGGTGAGAGTGTGCACATTCAATCCGGCGCCAAACTTGCGGTGTACAAGGTCCGCGTTGCTGACGCCTTTTTGAGCACGGACCGCGGGACGTTCTTGTACTGGGAGGACACGGTCGCCGGCACCCTGCATTACGCGGAGCTCCCGGTGGGGGCGTACACAGGGCCGCGATTGGCTGCGTGGATCAGCAGCAACTTCGCTTCCGCCAGCTACACCGCCGAGACAAATGAGCTCGACGTGACCTACGACGGCGTGCGCCTCATCCTCAACGATGCCGAGCTCCGGCAACGCTTCCCAGGCACGGCCCCCTACCCGCCGGGCGCCTCGCCCAGCAAGCCCCTGTCCATCAACCACCTCCTCGGCCCCAGCTACCTCACAGGCTCTGTGCAGCGCTTCGTCTTTGTGACGATGAATCCGTTCTCAGAACTGTACCTCAGGTGCCCAACACTGGCCAACGGGGAGACGACGGTGGGCCCGTTGGGGCACGACATCCTCTGCAAGATCGTCGTTTCGAAAGGCGTGGGCCACGTCATGGAGACCGAGACGTCAGAGGGGCACTGGGTTCAGCTGCACGGGCCCATAACCCTGCGTCAGTTGCGCTTCAAGCTCACCGACTACCAGGGCAACATCGTGAACACTCGAGGCACCAGCATTTCCTTTGTGGTTTTCCTCGACACCGAACGATAAAAAAAATAATTGGAAAAGAAAATGGCTGAGGATGAACCCGCTCCTGTGACCACCGAGCCCGCCGTGGCCGAGCCTCCCGCGCAGCTGGTGGTGGCCGAGCCTCCCGAGCCTGCCGAGCCTGCCGCGGTGGCCGAGCCGCCGACCGAGGTTCCTCAGGAAGCGCCCCAACCCAAACGGCGAGGGCGACCGCCAGGTTCGAAGAACAAGCCAAAGCCGCCCCCGACTGTGGCCGTGGCGGAGCTTCCGAAGCATGCTGAGTCGCCGACACCGGAGCCGCAGCAAGAGCCCCACCAGGAGCGAGCACAAGAGCCCCCGCCTGAGCCCCAGCAACCCGTGCGTATGACGCCCTCGGAGGCTCGCCGCGCCCGGCAGCTCTCGCGAGCCGACCGCTTCCATGAGCTCCTGCTCGCAAACACAATGGACTTGTAAAAAGAGATGATGCCCTTCCCCGAGCGGCGCAATGAGGCCGCGATGCTGCGGGCGTTTCACAAGCAGTATCCCAGCTACAACTTGACGCCGCTGCTCTACAAGCGGCAGCAGCAATTGATCGATGCTCGGGCCTTCAACGAGTGGCTGGCCAACCGGCGGCAGCGCCAGGAAGGCGAGGCCTATACGGATGAAGTGGGGCGTGCAGTCGACGCCGTTAACAGGAGGATCCCCCAGTTGAGGTGGGCCCCCGCCGAGCGGGCGGGCGTGCGTCGCGTGGCCCGCGACGTGGCTGCCGGGCGCAACACTAGCGACTCTGCGGTTTATGGCGGCCTCATGTAAAGATGGAGGAGCGGCGTGCGCACGGCTTCCGCGTACGGCCGTCATACTCACAGGTCCTGGGCTACATCGCTGAGGGCGAGCCCTTGCCCATCGACCTCCCAAACCGCAATGCCAGCATCCTGACTTCCAGCCACTTCTGGCTGGACGACTATCCCCAGAGCTCCGAGCCCGAGCCAGCCCCGCTGCCCCACACGACCGTGAACCCTGCAGCAGCCTACGAGGATGCCAACGAGGGCTACGATGGAGTGCCCTTCCCCCGCCGGGATTTTTTGCGCCCACGGCCCTTTGACATGGACAGCGAACCGGATTTTGGGGCCGTGGACCCCGGGCAGGCTCTAAGAAACGACGGGTTTCAGCCCCCAGCACCGCCAAGCTTCCTCAGCCGGATGCAGCAGGCTGAAGCCGCTGCGGGGCGGGAGCTGCAGCTGGACTGGCGGGCTCTGCCTCTGCCATTGCGGGGCACGGACAAGACCTTTGCAATGCAGCGCGCAGGGGAAGGAACTGGATCGACCGGAACCTACGCATTCCGCGCACGCCCGAGGGCCTCGCGCCCCCGCCCGACGAAGTAGCTCCACCCCAAATCATCGGCCGGCCAAGTGAAGTGGAGCCGCTTCTGGAGCGGGCGGGACAGCGAGCCCAGGAGGTGGAGAGGGCGGCAGCCCGAGACATCGAGCAGTTCATGAGCGAGCAGGTGGCCGAGGCGGAGGCGACCGAGGGCTTCGCTTCCACAGCAGAAATGGCTGCGGGGGCTGCAGAAGCGGCAGGTGCTGCAGAGGCCGCAGCGGGTCCGGGCGCGCTTGCGCTGTTTGGCGAGGCAGCATTGGGCACCGCTGCGGGCATGGGAGCAGCGGCGGGGGGCTTGGCTGTGGCAGGCGGGGCGGCCGCACTCGTGGGAACCGCATGGGCACTGCACGGCGGCATGGTGGCGGCAGAGCACCTTTTGGGCTGGGGTGGAGGCGGAGGAACCGACACGGACGCCTCCCGACCCAGCTCGGCCCCCGACATCCAGACCTTGAATGGGATGCAGGAGTTTGGGGCGGAGCAGCACTTCCAGCTCCGGGAGCCACAGGCCTCACGGCAACGCCCGCAGTTTTACCGCATGGACACCGACAGCGAATCGGAGCCGCGGGCCCAGCCGCCCCCGCGAGTGCAGGCTCGCCCCGCGAGGCCCACGCGCTTCCCCACGGGCTTGAACCCCGCTCCCTTGGCGCAGTCCTCGGGCAGCGAGTCCTCCCGCGGGCCTCGCATGCAGAGGCCGTCCCGCGCCGCACCGCCCCCGTCGTTCGAGGCGCTTCGAAGCGCGAGCGAGCCGGAGGCCGCGTGAATCTTTCGCTACAAGTAAACAGTATGGAGCAGGTAACTGCTGCCGTAAATGATGAGCTGGTCCAGTCTTTGTCGTTTCGGTTGGAGACCTCCAACGTTAACTATGTGCAGAGCCGCAAAGACGTCCAGTACTACCCGAGCTCCCTGAGCGTCTTCACGCCGACCACGAGCCGCGTGTGCCGCATCCCGCTGACCAGCGGCATGGACTTCGTGGACGGCGAGAGCGTCAAGCTCGGCTTCACGGTGCGCAACACCTCCACCACGGCGACGCTGCAGCTCGCCTCGCCGGACCCGAGCTGTCTCATCGACCGCATCGAGGTCTTCGCGAACGGCACTCGCATCGAGGACATCTCCTATTACAACCGCTGCTCGTACCTCTACAGCCTCCTGAAGAACGAGGAGTGGTGGCTGAACCGGCACATCCAGGGCTTCCTGGCGGACGGCGGGGGCCACGCCGAGGAGATCCCGGCCTCGGGCTCCCGCACCGTGCTCATGAGCCCGCACCTCATCGGGATCTTCAACTGCGGCAAAATGTTGCCCCCCGAGCTCGGCCTTGTTCTTCAAATCACCTTCTGCGACCCCACCGACGGGGCCCGCAACGTCAGCGGGAGCCAGGAGTACACCATCGAGAACGTGAAGCTCTACGCCTCCCAGGTGACCCTCGACTCCGCCCTTCGCGAGAGCTTCCAGAGGATCATGACCAGCGGCCGCAGCCTGGTTTTCAGCTTCCCGACGATGCACACGCAGCTCTCCAGCATCCCCGCAGGGTCCACCAGCTACAATATTACAATAGCACGGGCATTTACGAAATTGCTCGGCGCCTTTGTGACGTTCAACAAGACCACGGAGGACCACGTGGACAATTTCGAGTACCCTGGAGCGAATGCGAATCGGAACCTCAAGGGCCAGCTGCAGCTGGGTGCGTTGCAATATCCTAGGACGGCCAACGAGAGCATCGCCGAATGGCACCACTTTTTGGAGATCCTGGCGGGCACCTATGACTCCAAGCTTCGCAACATGCGCATCCGGGACAACCTCTACGGGAACACGCAGTTCATCGCGGCCTTCCCGGTGGAACGAGTGCCCAAGCATCCGCTCTCGGGCATCTCGACCCGCTCCGGCGACCTCTGTCGCTTCAGCTTCAGCAACATGGAGGCGGAGCGCGTGGACCAGTGCTTCGTGCACATGCTCTCCTACCAGCTCGTGACGCTCTCAGGAGCTGGGGTCAGTTCCCTCGACTAGTAAAACATGAGTCTTTTTGAGTCGACCATCACCGGCAACATCCTCAACGATGGCCAGACCCCCATCACCACCATCGAGATGCAGGGGATCTCTGCGGGGCAGCTCGCAACGGTCCTCACGGCCTACACACCCCTCACAGACACCGCTGCCAACACCGCATCCATCGGGACCAACTCGTCCGCCGTCGCGGCACTGCAGGCCCAGGTGGCAGCCATCCCGGCACCGCCCGATTTGACCCCTTACGCTTTGGCAGCTGACTTGGCAGCCGCCGAGGGCCTCATCGCCGGCAACGCTTCTTCCATAACCACTCTCAGCACCAGCCTCACCACGGGTCTGGCGGGGAAAGCGAACCAAAGCGCCCTCGACGCGCTGCAGCTGGACGTGAACTCCAAGAGCACGCCCGCCTCCGTGGACCTCAAGCTAGCCAACCATCCCACTAACGCTTCCATGAACAGTGCCATCACCAGTGCCGACAATGCAGTGCTCGCGCAGGTCGCGAGCACCTATGGGCTGAAGAGCACGCAGGACCAGCTGGCCCTCGACGTGGCGGCCCGGCAAACAGCCGCGGACGTCGACCAGAAAATAGCGACGGCTCTTTTGGACCGGCCAACCACCACCGACCTCAGCAGCACAGTGGCCCTGCGCACCACACCCGCGGACGTCTCGCAGCTCATCGCCACGGCCCTCCTCGCGTACGTTCAACAGGCGGCCTTGGACGCCGCCCTCGCCCTCCGCGACGGGAGACTCGACGCCGCCGAGGCGGCCCTGGCGGTGCTGCAAGCCGCGGGCTTCCAGTCAGCTGCCGACGTGGCTGCAGCGCTTGCCACCGCACTCGCGGGGTACACGGACACCGCGGGGCTCAACAGCTTGCTGGCCGTGCGAGATGTGCGCCTGGATGGGCACGATGCGGAGATCCTGGCGCTGCAAGGTGCGGGGCCCTTTGCGACGGCGGCGGACCTCTCGGCTTCCGAAACGAGCCTGCAGTCCGCCATCGATGCGCTCACAGCAGCCCTGGCGGCACTCACCACGGGCGGCGGCACGAACCTCGCCAACGCCCAGGCGTGGTCCGGGCAGACGACCTGGGATCTGCTGGTCGGAACGAACACAATTAGGAACTGGCACTTCAACGCTCCCCTGAGCGTCTCCCTCGAGAACGACAACTTCACGCTGAGCCTGGCCTGCGATGCGTACACGCAGGCGGAGGTCAATGCTCTTCTGGCGCCCCTGGCCAGCGAGTCCTGGGTGCTGGCCACCCTGGGCAGCTACTACACAAGCAGCGAAACCAATGGAGCCATCACTGCAGCTCTGGTTCCGTACAGCACCACCACGCAGATGGATGCCGCGATTGCCGCGGCTGTGGGCGGCATCGACTTGAGTGCATACGTGCCGTGGACCGGGCTTCAGGCGCCCATCCTGAACGAGATCGCTATAGCGCTCGCATCCTACTACGACTCCGCGCAAGTGGACGCCCTCATTACGGGCGCAGCTGTTTCCAATGCGCCCGCCTGGAGCGGGAACACCACCTGGGAGCTGCTGACGGGGCAGGCCCTGCGGAACCTGCACTTCGCCGGGCCCCTGGTGGCCAGCCTCCAGAACTCGGGCAACACGCTGCAGATCGAGTGCCAGGCCTACGACCAGAGCCAGACGTACACGCAGGCCGAGGTGAACGCGCAGATATCGAGCGCCGTGGACGCCCTGAACGTTTCGCAGTACGCCACGCAGGCCGACATCGACAGCTCCATTGCTTCGGAGCTGACCAACTACTGGGACCAGGGCGAAACCTCGGCGGAGATCGCCAGCCAGATCAGCTCCTCTGGGCTCCTCACCGAAGCGCAGGGCGACGCCCGGCATCATCCCGTCAACGGCAACGCCGGAGGCGGAGGCATCATCCCTATGGTCCTCGACAACTTCACGCCCAGAATGATAAGGGCGCTGCTGCCCCAGGCACCCCTGGGAGCGAACCTGATCCTGGGCAACTCCGCCACGGTGCAGCTTACGTGTGACTGCTACAGCAAAAGCGAAAGTGATGGGAGGTACTTCTCCAACAGCGACTTCACGCCCCTGGACTCCAGGTACCATGTGGTCAACGGCAACGCGGGGGGTGGGGGCATCATTCCTATGGTGCTCGACAACTTCACGCCAAGAATGATAAGGGCGCTGCTGCCCCAGGCACCCCTGGGAGCGAACCTGATCCTGGGCAACTCCGCCACGGTGCAGCTGACCTGCGACTGCTACAGCAAGGCCGAAAGCGATGCCCGCTATGCGCTGGCGGGCGCGCCGCCCTCGGATCCCCTGCTGGTCAATGACGTGAGGGCCAACGGAGCGGATTTCTTGACGCTGCGGGGCGGTAACCTGGGCATCGAGTTCGAGGCTTCCAACGGGGGCGCCGTGGCCGACCTGTCCTCGAGCCAGTTCAGCCTCAAGACGGGCGTCAACATGCTGACCATGGGCCGCATCTTCGCAGACAGCAGCCTGGGCATCGCCACGGCCGGCAGCATCCAGGCGGACACGGTGGAGCCCCTGCTTCCGACCAATCAGTTCCTCAACCTGAAGTCGGGCACCGTGTCCGTCAGGGTGACGGACCAATCAGACCAGAGCCTCTGCACCTTCGCCACGTCGGAGGTGCACACGGTGGCCCCGAGGCTGCGAGTGGACACGGAGCTCTACATCGACGACGCCATGGGCACGGCCACGGGGCTCGTCACCAATGCGATCTCCACGCGCGCCCAGGACACGGAGCTCACTATCACTGGCGGCTCGGGAGGCACCGTCGTCAACGGGGCGCTGGACGTGTTGGGCACGCTGACCTCAGGGAGCGTGGAGCTGTCCACGGAGCTGCGGGCGCCTACGGTGCGGGCCCGAGCCACCGACGATTATTTGACCCTCACGGGCGGCACGCAGGGCACCAACTCCGTGCTCTACACCGCCAGTGCGATTCGGGCCGACAACGGCATCGTTTCGAGCCCGGCCTACCTGGAGCTCATTGGCGGCAGCACGGGGGTGCAGGCACAGGGGGATTTGCAGGTTGTGTCCACCGTCAACAGCGGCAACGTCACGGCGGAGGTGCTGAACCTCGCGACTGCGGGCAATGCGCGGCTCCTGGCCTGCAACGCAGGCTCGGGGGAGCTCTCCGCCTCTTCCGCGGGGGGCGTGCAGCTCTACGCCCAGGACCAGGCCATCTTCCTGCGCACGGCGGCGACCGGGCCGGCCAACCTCATCGTGGAATCGAACACGGGCGGTTCTATAAACTAGTTGTGCTTGCTAGCGGTATAGCCGGAGGCTTCAAAAGGCTACGAGCTTCGCTCCACGCTTTGTTTTCTCTGGAGTGCCGGAAATCCTCACCAACGTCCACTCGAGGAAACAGCTAACGATGCACACAACAGGTTGATGGGTGGGCCCAAGTTACCCCACCCATGACAGACCGAAGCAACACTTTGACAACACGAGAAAAGGTAAGTGAAAAACACTAAGGTTAACACGGTTTCGCCCCGGTCATTCGCAGCATACTGCAAAGCAAGATATGGCCTGTACGGAGAAAACTGACACCAGACAGCTTTTTCAGCCGCCCTTACAAGAAACATGACTGTGCAAGTGTGAACCCAGAAGCCCAGATGGGCTTTCTCCAAAAGAGATGCATACAAGTGAGACTACCTGCAATACAGGTACTGTGCTACGGCCCGCCCCGAGAGCCCACTTTCTTGTAACGAGGTCTTGATTGTTCTTTTGGCCAGTGCCAGTGAGACAGAGAACCCCGAAAATTGGGGTGGGTGGGTGAGGAAACTTGACTTTCTCGCTAGCAAGCACCACTCTAGAGCCAAAATGACGCACGAACATAGTTTATAAAACATACATGAACAAGTACATGATACGTTCTATAAACTAGTTGTGCTTGCTAGCGGTATAGCCGGAGGCTTCAAAAGGCTACGAGCTTCGCTCCACGCTTTGTTTTCTCTGGAGTGCCGGAAATCCTCACCAACGTCCACTCGAGGAAACAGCTAACGATGCACACAACAGGTTGATGGGTGGGCCCAAGTTACCCCAAATTAAACTACCCAGCAACCTCGCCCCGGAGAAAACCCCAAGCTTAAGTGAGGTTGTTCGGCACTCCCCTGCTCCGCACAGACCATGGAAGGTGAGCCCCTTCGGGGAAAACCGAAATGTTTGGACGAGGCAACCAAAGGGCCTCGAGTGACAGCCGCACTCTATCCTTTTCCAGGCAGTCAGGGGGAACTTCATATTCAGCAGGACGAGACAAGGCATCAGCCTTGACATTGCGTTCCCCGGAAATGTGTGACACATCCAGCGTTGTTCTATGTACAGCTGCCAGCAAAGAAATCCTTTCCAGGAAAAAACAGAGAGGCCGAGCGGTGGAGAAGGAAGCGTTCACACCTGCCTCTGCACCTGTGTTGTCTGATGCGGAACGTAGCTGCAAGGGGATTCTGGCGCAAGGTAAAAGAGAAGATGTTGCCAAGATCAGCGCTCCCTGGGCGAGCGCTTCATAGCAAGCAATATCAAGCTGCATGTCTGCTTGCACTGGAATCTCAAGGGCCCGGAAGGCACTGTAGGAAAAGCTTTCTCGAAACCAACGCTGGCCTATCATGGGGTGAGAAACGTACCCACCAATGCAGCACATCGAGCCATGTGCACTTGCATCTGCTCTTGCCTCAAAGGATGCATTGCCTAAGGGGCGCATGCTGCAGAATGGGCACATATGCAAAAGCCAATGTTCGAACAAACCCAAAATGCGCACTGATTCGGTGCTCAACTTTCTCTTCGAACTGGACTGACTTGAGACGCGCATCCAAACCCGCCTGTCTGTAATGCGCACGCGATCCAAGTCAGCCAAAGATGACAAATCCTGATGTCGGACTGACAAAAGTGTACTGTGGAGCGGAATTGCTGTACCTGGAGGAACCGATTTGAATTGCAGGGAATCCGTCAAGTGGTGACGAAGCTGTGGCCAAACGTCTGGGGCCACCGAGTAGTTGGTAGCAGCCGGGCTGAAAAGATCATGATAGAAGGTGTACAGAAGCGACTTCATTGTCGGGAAAAGGTGTGCCGCCCAAAGAGCAAGCCCGACAAACCTCTCCAAATCCTTACGGGAAATTTTTGGATTACGCTGAAGATCTTGAACCATCCCCAAAAGTTTTAACCTTTTTTCCTCTGCAAGCGACACTACCCCGGAGGTGTAACAGAAACACCACCCTATCCATTGAACTCGAGAACTAACCTGAAGTTTCTTCCAACTCAAAGGTACCCCCAGAATCTGAAAGAAGAGGCAGATCATCGCCCCTGTTGCTGGTAAGACGGCTTCCGCCTGAGAGAATAAGTAGTCGTCCACAAACAAGTGGCCTGCATGGCTGAACCAAATCAAGATATGCAACAACCTAAGCAGGCAGGAGCCTAAGCGCCCCCACCAATGCTGTGCAAAGACCGCCCCGAATGGGGCCACGCGATAGAAGTACAGAGAATCTGCGAAAGCGAAACCTAGGAGACCCTGCTCGGACTCCTTGACAACACACCTTTTGTGAGCACTTTTGACATCAAGAGAAATGGCAGCTTGCCGCGAGCGGGTGCCCCGAAGGGGGAAACAGTGCATCACGCCCCTCACTGATGGCATATGCTGGACTTCTGGAACACTGCAACTTGCATTCGTGCCACACACTGAATTATCTAAGACCAACCTCTCAGAACGATTGGGCGCACGGACCACGGAGAGCTTTCCTATTGCCAGTGTACCCGGCCACTTTGCCTTAGCTGCCTCAATGTCGCCATCAAACTTGAAGCAAAAACCCTGATCTAACTCCTCCTGCAGCAAGGCTTGGGTCACGGACAAATCCACTGAGGCCGAGCGCCAATTCTGCATGTGGATGGACAATGATACATCCTCAAGGTTCTCTTTTTGATTCGGCCAAAAACAATTTGACACTGGGATATCGTTGTTGTACCCCGTGGGGACGCCTTGCAACAGGGATTTGCAAAGACTCACATCTGGATCACCACAAAAACAGGCAAGTGCCTCAAGCGCATGCAGATGCAAGGGTTGATGCTCACGGACCTTCCATGTATTTGCATCTGTTGCCACACCTAAGCAGGAGAAGAAGTCTTTGCGCGCATCTTGCACCTCCGAAGCGGTGAAGAGGGGTTCAGGATTAGGCCAAGTGGCTTTAGCAAGCAGGCGTTTGGGGCCCTGCATGTCACAAACTTTCCCCAGAAGGTATGTCCGAAGATTTTTGAGCTTATCCTGGCACAATGGGGTGCTCCAATCCCCACAAGAGTGGCGACCTGCCCCATCGTGGATTACCCACGGTCCAACATCCAGGGCCTTGACAGGTACTAAAGCTGACGCGGTGGCAAGAGTGTGTTCAATCTGTGCACCTGCAAGAAGCGGCCTGATGTGCAACGCGAATTCTTCCGCCAGGCATTGGGGGTACTTAGCGGTCTTACGACTTTTGAACGAACCATCACTCTCACGTCCCTGCACGGACTCATGTGCATTGCGTCCGTGTTGACACGTCTGCCCCATCACGGACAGGGCTTGAAAGCTCGATGCAAACAGCCAAGTTTTTGCCCAGTTCTCCCCAAAAGCACAGGCCGGGAGGACAATGAGGGCTGTAGACCCACAGTGCAACCAGCCTTGAACGCACGATTCTTCCCAGGACATAGCACCTGAAGGTTGCTCCAAATGGCCATGGCCCCCGGCCCCATGGACGATTTGAAGACATTTGCACGCCCTGAAAAGCATCTCGTGACTTGTTTGTATACGAGCCTGGGCTGATGGGGATAGGTTCTCCAGGCCCCCTAGCTGGGTTGGTGTGCGGATGGCAAAGGGCGGACCTCCAAAGAGTTTCAGGCGGGAGTATTCCGAACAGCAAGGGGATGCCGCACAATACCCCACAACACCTGAGCCACAGATGAACAAGAGCTGCTCGAAAAAAGTATTATCGAGAATGTCCATGCTGCTATCCAACAGGATATCAACTGCAAGTGTTGGGAAGCCTAACTCCTGCACCGCTGAAGATAGAGGCTTCTCTGCGCCCGAACAAATGTCCAGGAAGATCCTTGAAGACTGCTGTAGCGCTGACTGAACTATGGCAGGCGAGGATGGTGGTGGGCGAGGTATTTGGGGCTGCAAGATCAAGCGGTGGTGAGCAAACCCCTTTGGAGAAGGCTTTCCCCAATTAACCTCCAAGCTAGGAACTGCCTGTTGAGAAGGGGAGCAGGGTTCGGGTGTAGTAACCGGAGCTGGGGGCTTGGTTCGTGGCTGGGGCCAAGGGAAACCCAAACCCTTAAGTGTATCACCTGACACGCCTGGGAGGGTAAAGGCAGTCAGCACCCATCGATCGCCAAGCCACGGTTGGGTGCAGTGCCAAAGGTGCACGGGGAACTTAAACGGCGCATGATGCGTTGTGACGATCTTGCCCGGGAGAGTCACCCCAAGCTTGGGGATGAACTGCGGTACAGTGCCTGCTTGGTCCTCGACCCAAAGGCCTCCATCCGAGTACGAACCTATCCCCACTGTCAAATTTGACGACCCCGGCAAATTTGCTGTGTCCTTGTGCGGGGACGTCAAAATGTTCCTGCTGACACACAAGGCATTCCAAGTCTCACCTGGGAACAGTTGGCACAAGAACCCATTAAGGCTTGCACACAGTTGTGGGAGTGCATCCGTAACTGATGAACGGGCCGAAGGATTCCCTAGGCGCACCCCAAAGTTCCAGTATCCCGATTCCCCCGGAGCCGCTGAAGTAACGCTCCTGGCGGGAAGCACGCGTGGAGGCCAAGAGGCAGAAAGTAATGCCTGAAGACAGGACTTAAAGTCATGTATGCATGAGGAACCTTCTTCTGCAGCATGTGTAACACCCACCTGCCCGGGTGTTACCTCATTCCTGGAACGACCAGGCATGTTGCACGTGACATCACCCAACACGGGTTGTGAAGGGATGTTGCCCTGAGGACATTGCACTGCTGGCGACGACACAGGCCCAGCATTTGTCTCCAACAAGGAGACCGATTTCGGAAGCACATTTACAGGCTCGGCTGGCCGAGCTGCCGGCTGGATATCATACCCAGCAACACGATTTGCACCTGCCTGGTGCTTTGCTGAAAGAGGCTGTTGAGGTGATACTGACATACAAGGCGACAAAGGGTGTGACTGAACTGGCTCAGTGTGAGATTGCATAGGATGCGGGGCATCTGGGGGTGATACCTCTGTAGACTGCAAATCTGAATTCGGGATTCTTTGCCACGGCACAAGGGTAGGTTCGAATCAGTGAGGCGTCTGTTCATGCTGAGAGGCTGTGTGCGACTTGCTCCCACACGCTGATCCATCCTGCTTGGGGTATGCACATGCATGAACAAAGGGGCAGGAGCCTCCCCTTGTGCAGCGGCCAATCTGCCACTGGACACACAGCCCTTTCTTCTCAGATCCCACTTGGATCTCTTTCACGAAGGTGATGTGTCTCCCTGGAGCGCCCTTGGGCTTACCGCCCTTTTCTTTGCCCCGGCCCTGGCCCTTGCCGAGGCCTTTCCATTGGCCGACCTGCTTCCCCTTGCCTTTGAGATCGGGGCCGCGGGGGATGAACAAAGCTTTCGGACGAGCCTGCAGCAAGGTGCTAAGCTCACCTCTGATTTCAGTGAACTCATGCAACGCGTCATTCAAGCTCCAAGCTTTCTCACTGACTAAAGAATGGATGCTCTGCCAAATCCGACAATCTGCCTGTTGCGCTTCTAGGATTGTCGGTGCACGCAGGCCTGATGTTGGGTCGAAACGCTGGGACACAAGCTGGACGAACTTGCAGCTGTAGGCTTTAAGGCGGGCAAGGTGAGCAGAGCCAACCATGGCCAACGCAACGTCATGCACTGCCAAGATTCGCTGGATGCCACTGATACCCATATTGGCATCGGTCACTTCGATTGTAGGCGGATCATCAAGGAGCAAGCTGGAAAGACCCAGCATTTCGAGCTTGGGCTGTTTGTGGGGTCTGGCAATTAACAACTCCGAAGCTTTCTCTTCCGTCATGCGATGTTTCCAAGCTATCCATTTATACTCCGAACGTGCCTCTTGATGAGCTGCGAGGGAAATCAGCCTCAAAGAGGGTAGAGTAGATGGATTCAAGACCTCACTTGGGTAATTTGCGAGGAATTGGCGCTTCATTTCGGACAGCTTCGTGGATGCAATTTTGGGAGCAAAACTCTCTACCCATGTCTCCAAAGTAGGATCTGCGTTGACAGGGGCCGGTAGAGCACTAGAGGAACTGGATGTTTGCATGCCCGCCCACGCTGCTTTGATCTGGGCTATCTGCAACCGAGACAAAATCTGACCTGGGAAGATCTCGGGGATGGCTCCCTCAACTTCTGCCTGAGTTTCAACAACGTGTTTGAACGCCGAGGCTGTCCAGCCCCCTTCCGTGGCCACTTTGATGACCTCTGCTGCCAAGCCTTCCTTCGCCAGTGCACTCTCCAACTCGGAATCAGCCATTACATGCAAGATACCGCAGGGCTAATGTTGGTGTTTAGCGCTAGACCAATATGTGATTCTTAGATAGGAAGACAAAGCTTTGTTCTCGTGAGCTAGATGAGCATGCTAAGCAACGAATCTGACATGTACGAGACTTCCTGGGCATCTTCTGAATACCACGTGAAACTCTTGCAAGACGCTACACCCCTAAAGATCTTTCCTTGGGGATTTGCTAGCCCAATCGAGCGCCTGCCTGCAGAAACACCAAAAGCATGTCAAGATCATAGCCACAATCTAACCCTTGGTGGACATGTGCAACATGACAGCCTGCTGTTTCATTGATGCATACGCAAAGCAACAACCACACTTTTCTGACACGAACATTCCAGCTCACTCCTCGGAACAACAAGATAAAGCTGCCAAGCATGCACTGCGTCTGCACAACCGACACGAAGATGGTACTGACGTGTGGATCATGAGCCGATCGGCCGGAAGAGTGGCACCACACTTTGCACGCATATATGTCCCATTGACAAGAGTGCCTGACAAAGCATCTGAAGGGCAGAGCACATGCAACACCGCGGTGCAGGAGCCCAGCAAGAATTCCTCAGGCTCACCTAAGTCGTGCTCTTCGGCCGGGGGTCCCGAAGGTTCCTCATCGCTCTCATCTGAAGATCCTGGGTCGGAGTGGTACACGAGATCTTTGTCCAGCACCTCTATATCTGGATCAGGGGTGACTATTTGATTTTCTGCGACCTCCCAACTCCCATTACTGCTTTGAAGCAAATCGTCACTGCCATCAAGTGGAAACGAGAACCACTGGAAGGGTTCAAACTCGTAGTCCTTAGAGAAGGCTTCCGGCGGGATGTACGCTGGTGTCAAGGGCTGCTGCCCTCCTCTGTGCTGGGGGACCAAAAATCGGAAGCCTGTGCGGATGCTATCACGAATGCAAGATTGGCACCGAAGCATGCCATGAACATCATCACGGGAATAAAGAGCGGAGCTGCTTATGCGGTGGTGCCCTTGACGTTTCCTATCAACCTCATCAACATTGACTTGAAGGGACATGGAAAGCATAGTGGCTTTGAGACTGTGCACTGTGAAATTGAGGGGCGGTACCTCTGGTGGTGCGGATGCCCAAGGCATGAGGAGAAAATGCCTCAACCACCTCAGCGCCTCAGCATAGCTCATAGCTTGCAGGGGGAACATGAAGCTGTCGCCTTGCACTGCTGGAAGCAAGAACGATGGAAGCCACGAATCTGGGTGGTTTCGAACATGCATTGTAGCTAGCCTGTCAAGGGCATGCAGGTATTTGCTAACCCAAGAATGCGTCCCACGAGACAGAATACCTGACGCAAGGATGCCCCAGGGCTGCCCGGTGTGACATGTTTTGGTCGCATAACACGTACCACGAAGGACATGTAAGTCAAAAGATAATGAACTCCACTCCACACGTTGAAGATCTGCAAATCGCAATGAACCCCAGGCAGCAACCAAAAAACCACCAAGCACAACCACTTCAAGGAATGATGCCTGCTTCATCAAGATGCGCCTTTCCCACAGCTGGAGCACCCAAGTGGGTAGTGGGAAACTCTCACGGCGTTCACGAGGAATTTTTGACTTCAGAAAAGAATCAATCACTTTTTCATACGCGCACGATAAGATTGTACATTCTGCGACTTTGCATAGCCAACGAAGTGCTTTGATTGTCATGCAACAGCTTGAACCCAGAGTAGGGTCTCCATGCTTCTCCAGGGACATGGTGACAAGTATGTCTGCCATCATAACACTATCAAGATTGCCAAAACAGAGGCCTAGCCCTTCAAGGTTCGCCACAAAGTGTGACCAAGCTGCCAGGTAACGGAGCACCGTGTTCGTGGCATACCCGGAAAGAATTCGCGAGGTGTGATGACTGGCAAATTCGGAGCACTGAATCTGCTTGAACAATCCACTACAATCACCCATAAAAACAAGCACACCCCAAAACAGTGACAAGGCCATCTGGGAGAAACCTGCAATCTGCTGGAACTTGGGATGGTGGGGATCGGCCGCCTTTGCTGGCTTTCGCTTCGGGGCAGCTTTCAAGAGAAACGATGAAGTACTTTGCCGCTGTTGGTTGGATTCTGCGAAGGACTGCCGAAACCTGGCAAAGTGTCTGGCTGATTCTTCTTCAGCATCGGAATCACAATTGCTCCTGCTGGATGCCGCAACAGGAACGGGCAGAGGTTGCCCGGCACGTGGAACTGGCTCAATGCGTCGTCCCTGGGAGTACAAAGGTTGGGCAAGACCTGCCGCCGGCAGAGGGGGAGCGGTTCCTTTAGGTTTGTCAACTGGTAGCGCAAGCCCCCCCAGGGGTGGTGGTGCACACTTGCTCTTTGCTTTACTGAAGTGCTTATCATCAGGATCCGTCGGGCGTTTCATCCTGCAACCCTCTAGTCTTCAATCAAGCTTTGCCAAAAACCTGGAGGCCTTGGGAAGCTGTTCTGAACTGCACGCACAAGAAAGTTGAAGCAACTCTCAAGGTGCAAGAGCCGAACCGAAAGGCAGCCTATGCTAGAGGTGCTTCTCTGGCCACGCAGGTCCCGGCGAACCCTCTGATCTTCCTGCTCAATACGATGCAAGCGCTGCTCCAAAAAAGCCGTATAAGATCTAAGATGCTCAATCTGGCTGTGCAACTCGTGGATTTGCAACTGCAGCTGTGCCGGCGAACTGTCAAGTCGGGCACACGACTCTTCCATGCACTCACTTGTGGAGTGTTCCCGCTCACCCCCGGAGAACGGTTCAAAACTGGTAGTGTAAAATGCAAAGCTACCGCAAAATATTGTATGACGACCAAAGCAAATGCGACTCACATGCAAGCAAGAATGTGACAAAAAACTTGACTTTCTCGCTAGCAAGCACCACTCTAGAGCCAAAATGACGCACGAACATAGTTTATAAAACATACATGAACAAGTACATGATACGGGCCAATGACGGGGAGGTGATCGTGACCTATGGGTTCCAAAATCTCTCGGACGAGAAGCTGAAGCACAGCCTGGAGCCCGCGGGGCTCGAGGAGCTGCAGCAGCTCTTCGACGCCGTGGCACCCAAGTGGTACCGGCGGACCGAGGGGAGCCAGAAGCGTACGTTGGGTTTCATCGCCAACGAGGTGCTGGAGACGGGGCCCGTGGGCCAGGCCCTGTGTGGCAAGCTCGTGGACGAGGAGCTCGGAGAGCTCATTACTCTTGACTACAACCGCATGTGCTGCGTTTTGTGGGGAGTCTGCCAGGGGCTCCAGGCCCGTGTGGAGGCTCTTGAGAAGAAGGGCAAGAAGCGCTCGTGATATAAAATGGACGCGGAGAACGTGAACCTATTCCGGCAGCTGGCCGCGGACTTCTCGGTCCGCGATGTGCGGAAGCTGCACCAGCTGGCACGGCGGGAATTCCCGGACCGGCCGGGCATGACCTATGCCCGAGCCGCGCGAGCTTTGCGGGACGACGTGGCCAGGCAGATTTTGGCCCCCAAGCCCCGGTCTTTAGGCAAGAGTGCGGCCGAGGGCCCCAACGATCGGCTGCAAGCTGATTTGATCGACTTCAACGTCAACACTCGGGGGGCCAACAAGTACGGGCTGATTGTCTCGGACGTTTTCACCCGAGAAGCAGTGACCAAAGCCCTGCCCGACAAGAAGACAGAGACGGTCTCGGCAGCAGCCCGGGAGATCATCCCGAAGCTGGTGGAGGAGGAAACCAATTATGTTGTGTCCACGGATCAAGGGGTTGAATTCAATGGCCTGGAGGGGGCGCTGCCGGACCCCGTGGTGCACAGAGTGAAGGACCCCTCGGATCGGAACGCTCTGGCAGTGGTAGATAGAACCATCCAAACCTTGAAACGGGACCTGGCCAGCGACGTGGCCCGGCATGGGGGCAACTGGAGCGAGCACCTGCCTGACGCAACCTTGGCCTACAACCGCCGGCCACACGAGGCCGTGCATGCGGCCCCCGAGGATGTGGAGCACCAAAAATCCACCATGTTCCGATTGTACCAGGACAATGCCAAAAAGTTCCAGCACAACATGCAGCTCACCCGGCGCAGGCAAGAGAGACTGGAGGAGATGGGAGCCTTCCGGGCCCCAACCAATGCGCGACGAAGCTTTGAGCCCCAATATGGAACCGCCAAGGATGTGGCATCCTACGACAGCATGATGGTCAGGGCCACCGATGGCTCCGAGACCTTGCTAAAGCATGCCTTACCCGTGCCCCGCGGAAGCGCTGAGCCCAAAGCGAGACTCACCCGCCCGCCAGTACCACTGGCAATCAGGCAACTGCGAGACTTCAATCCAGGGCCTGCTGCCCCGCCCTGATTCTTTTCATGCATGATAAATGAGCTCTGGGCTGTCAGCTGCCTGTGAAGCTGTCACGCAAAATCCTTCTGAGCAAAATCTGGTTAACCTGCTGGAGTGTTGGTCACTACAATGGAAGCATCGCGGACGCCAACGAGGCATTGGCTCGGGATCATATGACATTTACTGCACCCTAGGACTGTATGCTTTTGGAGGCAACACCCCTTGCATGTCGAAAGCATCCGCCATGAAAGAAGCATGTGTCGCAGTCAATCATTTCTTGCGAGATCGCTTTCCAAATGGAAAATGGACTTCCCTCGCAGTGATTCTGAACCCTCACATAGGACTCCACCGCGACATGGGGAACATGATCGACATGCCAAATTATGCGATCGCACTGGGCAGCTTTGCTGGAGGCAAAGTCTGGATTGAAGATGAACAAGGCACGTCACTGGACGAAGTTGTGATGAAAAACAAAATTCATCAGCTTCGCGGATCCTGGCTGGACATGCACGACAATCCAGTGTCCTTTGACGCGCGCCGGTTCCACAAAGTCGAGCCACACGTTGGTCACATGTGGGCCATTGCGGCATACACTCCCACCGCTTTTAAGCGTTGCTCAAATGAAAATTGCGAAGAATTGACATCCCTGGGGTTCCCTGTTCCCAGACTCAAGTCTCTGCACGCAGAACCACAGTCTCTGCCCTAGGCGGACCCAATTGAAGAAACTCCGACCCCCGCGCATTTTACAGGCACTTTGGACCCTTCTAAAAGCCAGCCCTAAGCCCTCAGGACCGCGTTTTAAGACGAGTTTCCGCCAAATCAGAGAGGAAGGACTTGCCCCCACAACCAGAGACTACGCCACAACAGAAGCCAGTTTTGAAACACAGATACAAGAGAGAGGGAACATCCACTTCTCGCAAAGCTGCAAGGTCAGTGGTTCGCAGCTCCGAGAAGCGCCAATCATTCACCTCTCGGGTTCGTCCTCCGCGTCTGACATGTCATCCATGGGGCAGGAAGAGCCTTCGTTAGTTTCGGAAGAGATGCTGACGACCTCCAGCGAGGTTGCTGCAGTGTTCACTTCCACAGGCGCAGCACAGGGCGAGGAGAGCAAGCATCTAGGGGCAACACTCGCCAGAAAACAGCCATTTCTGTAAGAAGTGTCAGGCCATTCCAAGTTCAAAACTGACCAAAAATTCAATGTTTTGGTAGGCCACCGAGGCTGCAAGAGCAAGCCGGATGGCGTGAAGAAAATGGGCAGGGGGAGGTCCGGCCTAAATTCTTGACAGTGCGTTTGCCCAGTGTCTGTGTGCCCTGCAGCGTGATGTCCAGGAACGCATTCAGGCCGGCTGGGCAAGCCTGGCCGTTTCCACGTCCGTGCAGCTTAGCAGCTGCGGCCCATGCCTGCAAGGCTTCTTGGAAAGCAGAACAGAGAAAGAAAGATGCAGAGTCAACATATTTTTTTAACTGGCTTGATGGAAACAAAATCAGTGTCCCACATGCCCTACCACCAAATATGTGTGGATGCGCACAGTGGACTGCCACAAGCCACTGGACAAGCCTTTTTGTTCAATGTTTTCTTTGTTTTTTTTGTCCGGGTGATTTCGGTTGAGTCGCAAGCTTTCAGAGAGAGAGTTTCAAGAAACCAACGTTTTTGTGGGTCAGAGAGTCGTGTGTGTCATGTGTGGGTGTGTGTCATTTTGTGGGTGCAAAGTGGCTTTGTGTTGCGTGTCCGGCTGGGTTCTGCTGGCTGTTCAAGTGTGGAAGATGCGGGTGGTGAAGGGTGTGTGATTTGGAGAGACAAAAAGAGGGCAAGAAATCAACCCCAAAAAGGTAGAGAAGTCGAAGTGACCTTCACAGTGCGAGAAAGAACAATGCAAGACTGCTTTGTCTTGAATGCCAGCTGAAGACAAGTTTAGCAAGCCAAGAACACGCGTATCGACAGCGTTTTTTGTTTTCCTTGTTGCAAACAGTATCGAATAGACAAAATCTTGTTTGTCTGTGAGTTGATTTTAATTGTTTGAACTCAAATGGGTTCCAAAAGCAGCTCAATTCTGGGCACCAAAAACGGGCCCTAGATTTTGGATTTCCTGTGCAAACAGACAAGGCCACCCAGGTTGGAGCCTCAAATTGGAACCCCAGTTTAGGAGCCATTTTTGGGCCCAGTTGCAGCGTTTTTTTCACACAGGAAGCCAGATCTGGCTTTCACAGCTTTTACAAATTTAACTGATTAAGTGTTGATTTTGAGGTTTTTCAACATTTTTCGGAGACTTTAGAAATTTGGGAAATTCGTTGAATGGTGCTGAATCCAAGGAAGAATTGCAAACGCAACCAAAACGAAAGACAAAGAATTGAGGGCACCCCAGCCTGAAAGGCAGAGTTTATTTTCTGTCCTTGAATTTCTGTTTGGCCATTTTGGAAAATCAAAGACAAGACCCAGTCAAAGCTTTGTCAAAAAAAGTCGAATGAAAGGAAAATCGAGGCTGGCCATGATGAGAGGTCAGTATGATATGTTTTTTTTCAATGTTTTTTTTTTGAAAGATTCAGCAGCAGATTCAACACAGCAAGTTTTTTTTCAGTTCAAATTGCCTTTGTCCGTCTGAGCAGAATTTTTCTCTTGCTTTTGTTCAATGTTTTCTTTGTTTTTTGTCCGGATGATCTCTCGGTTAAGTCGCAAGCTTTCAGAGAGAGAGTTCCGAGAAACCGCCCAGAACCAAAACACAAACAGATCGTTTAGCAAGTGTTTTGGTGAGTGCTGTTAGCCTGGAAAGCTGTCGATTGACCAGAAAGACAGTGAAAAAAATCGCAATCGGAACTGAAAGATATTCATGAGAATGAGAATGTGCGTGTTGTGGTTTCGGCTGTTTTCTGAGGTGCATGTGCAAGAGTGTTGTGGATGTGTGTGTGTGTGAGCATTTGTGGTTGCAAAGTGGGCAAAGGGTGGTAAGGCATGGAGTCTCAGAAGTGACACCTTGCAGTGGTGTCTTTGTGTGTTCACTTGGGTTTCATTGTGAATGGGTGTGTGTGGTTGTAGTTCGACGTTTTGTGGGTCAGAGAGTCGTGTGTGTCATGGAGTGTGGGTGTGTGTCATTTTGTGGGTGCAAAGTGGCTTCGTGTGTTTGCGTGTATGTCGGCTGGGTTCTGCTGGCTGTTCAAGTGTGGAAGTATGCGGGTGGTGAAAGGTGTGTGGATTTGGAGAGACAAAAAGAGGGCAAGAAATCAACCCCAAAAAGGTAGGGAAGCCGAAGTGACCTCCACAGTGCGAGAAAGAACAATGCAAGACTGCTTTGTCTTGAATGCCAGCTAAAGACAAGTTTAGCAAGCCAAGAACACGCGTATCGACGGCGTTTTTTGTTTTCCTTGATGCAAACAGTATCGAATAGACAAAATCTTGTTTGTCTGTGAGTTGATTTCAAT